CAGCTCAAACCTTTAAATATCCCGCCCTGCACTGCCATTGGTGCCCAGCGGGGGCCGCGGCTTCTACACTGAGGCATAGCAACGCGAACTCGAATCCGTGCCGGCCCACCTAGTTGTACTATTAATTTGGCCTTCATTGAAGGGATCGTGGCGGGGATCGAGGAATCCCTGACAATTATTTTACTAAGCAAGGAAGTTTGTAAAAACCACAGTGTTTATCTTATCCATTGGTATAAAATATAGTTACATAGTTAGTCTGGTTGAAAAAAGACAAAAATCCATCTAGTGCAACCAACAGAAATAAAATGCACAAATAGAAAACCTCCATATACACTCACCAGCCACTTTATTAGGTATACTTGTTCAATTGCTTGGTAGCACAAATTGCTAATCAGCCAATCACATGACAGCAACTCAATGCATTTAGGCATAGACATGGTGAAGATGACTTGCTGAAGTTCAAACCGAGCATCAGAATGGGGAAAAAAGGGGATTTAAGTGACCTTGAACAGGGCATGATTGGTGGTGTCAGACGGGCTGGTCTGAGTATTTCAAAAACTACTGGTCTACTGGGATTTTCACACAGAACCATCTCTAGGGTTTACAGAGAATGTTCTGAAAAAGAGAAAATATCCAGTGAGCGGCAGTTGGGTGCCTTGTTGATGTCAGAAGTCAGAGGAGAAAAGGCAGCCTAGTTCAAGATGATAGAAAGGCAACAGTAACTCACATAACCACTCATTACTACCAAGGTATGCAGAATATCATCTCTGAACACATGTCGAACCTTGAAGCAGAAGGGCTACAGCAGCAGAAAATCACATCGGGTTCCACTCCTGTTAGCAAAGACCAGGAAACAGAGGCTACAATTCGCACAGGCTCACCAAAAGTTGCCGTAGAAGATTGGAAAGACGTTGCCTAGTCTGACGAGTCTTGATTTCAGGTGCGACATTCAGATAGTAAGGTCAGAATTTGGTGTAAACAACATAAAAAAGCATAGCTTGTTCCTGATTTTGAGGGACTGTCCCTCAATTCGAACCTTTTTTTCCTCCTTCCCCCTCATTTGTCCCCTCATTTTTGGTATGATCTATATAATTGTATATAAAAATGCAATGTTTATCTATCAAAAAGTGCTAAATCTTTCATCCAATTTCTAACTTGCTGCATTTGTAAATGTCAAAAGCCAATATAAAGAAATGATAGTGGTAAAAATAAACTACTTGTGGGTTGAATCAATCATTTTTTGTATAATTCTCTTTTAAGGGGGGCATGGCAAGGGTACGTGTCCTATATACTTACATATTTTTGCTATTAGGTGTCCTTGTTCCCATCTCAGAAAGTTGGGAAATATGTGAAAGTGTGGATCCTTTCTGCCTTGTATCAACGGTTCAGGTTGGTGTTGGTGGTGTAATGGTGTGGGGGATATTTCCTTGGCACACTTTGGGACCCTTAGTACCAATTGAGCATTGTTTAAATGCCATGGCCTACCTGAGTATTTTTGCTGACCATGTCCATCCCTTTATGACTACAGTGTACCCATCTTCTCATGGCTATTTCCAGCAGGATAATGCACCGTGTCACAAAGCTCAAATCATCTCAAACTCGTTTCTTGAACATGACAATGAGGTGCCTGTACTCCAATGGCCTCCACAGTCACCAGAACTCAATCCAATAGAGCACCTTTGGGATGTGGGGAATGGGAGATTCGGATGTGCAGCTGACAAATCTGTAGCAACTGCGTGATGCTATCAAGTCAATATGAACCAAAATCTCTGAGGAATGTTTCCAATATGTTGTTGAATCTATGCCATGAAGAATTAAGGCAGTTCTGAAGTTAAAAGGGGGTCCAACCCAGTACTAGCAAGGTTTACCTAATAAAGTTGCTGGTGAGTAGACATAATCCAATAATCACAGTTGACCCAGAGGAAGGCAAAAAAACAATAAAGCATGATCCAATTTGCTCCAGTGGGAGAACAAAAAATTTACCGGGTAGGCAATAGGATATTCCCTGGATCAAATACCCTGGTGCTAATACCTATAAATATTAATGTTATGTTTTGTACATTTAGGAAAGAGTCCAAGCTTTTTCAAAACAATCTACTGGGCTGGCCAGTACCTCAGCAAACTGAATACCATTCTAAGAGTTGGTGTAATATGTCTGCTGCCTTCTCCAACAAGACAGAAATTGTCTGACCCTGCTTAAAGTAGCCGGGAGCATCAGCAGAACCAGACAAGTATCCTCTTCATGTGTAGCAAATCCAACAGTAAGAAATAACTAACTAACTAACACAACACCAGTGAAATGAAGACTTCTAGACTTCTTATCTGCATACTTGTTCAAGGTCAGCAATTCACAGTATTAAAGCCAGATGGTCAGCATGGCAACCAGGAAACTAGCATTTTCAAAAGAAATGTCTAGCAATAGAAGCTTCTTTGTTCCTCTCATGACAGGTTTTGACAAGTTTTACTCTTTGGCAATATGTATAGCTGATTATCAGGTGGCGGCTGGAATGGTGTGGCGGCACCTATATGTGCTCCCACACCTCTCGCACAGTCACATACCTGTATGTGGAGCCTGAGATGACAAGGGTGGTCTCTTGCACAGTTCCCTTCCAAACAGATCTGTATAGCAGACAGATTGCAAGGGTGAAAGAAAGGCACAAGTGCCAAGGTGTAGCCACTGTAAACAGGAACTTGAGAGCGCTGGTATCTGATGAGCAGAGATGGCGATGCACTGTGATAGCACCAAGTTCAGTGGATGGTGTACACCAAAACCTACACAGAATCAGAGTCAGGTACAAGGAGAGGTCAGCAAACAATTGGGGTAATGAGGTACAGAATCATTAGGCAGTAGCAGGGTCAGTAGTCCAGGCCGGGGTCAATAGCAGAGACAGACAGCAGACATTAGCAGGTAGGGATAATCCAAGAGCAATGTCAGAGTGGAAGCTGGATCATGAATGCACATGAAGACTGGATCACGGGAATAAGGGTGAAGACCATATAGCACAGGACCAGTGTAGGATTCAAGTTTAAATAGGCTGGTTGTCAACAGTGCTTGCATGTTTGTGTGCATGTGCTCATACTTTCGGGCAAATGAGCAATCTATCTTCTATACTTATGCCTCTGTGCACGCATATTAGAAAAACAACAAGTCCTAGTCTGACAGCTGGATCGTGACCAGGGGCGGACTGACAACTCATGGGGCCCCCGGGCAATAGGGGATCATGGGGCCCCTGTGTCCTTGCCCAAACTCAAAAAAGCCTATGAAAAAGGTACCAGGGGCATCTCATGGGGCCCCCTACTGACCCCAGGCCCTCGGGCAGTGCCCGAGTTTCCAAATGGTCAGTCTGCCCCTGATCGTGACACACACTCTCTATCAAAGAAGACTAGAAGTCTCTAATCATTCTCATTTGAGATAAAATCAAGCAAGATCAGATATTATATATAATATGAGCAAGACTACCTATTTAAGGATACATGAGATCTACACTTAGTCTATAAATCTATAACTTAGTCTATAAATTTTTAATCTTTTAAAAGAGGTTCTCCCTCTTATCTTCTATGGTTTGCAGCAATGTGTTTACCCAACTGATGGGTTATGGTTGAATAGATGCTAGGGTTGGTTTCACAGGCAGATTCAATATTTTCCTCTTTAATCCCTTGAGGAAGTAGTCTTATGTTCTGTGAAACGTGTTGAGATAAGTCTTTCTATGTATTTCCCTGTAATGCAATGGTACAAAGAAGATGATGCAATTGAATAGATTTGCATACAAGCATTGAAAAAAATGTTAGGTAGCAAACGTAGGATGGCAACTAGAGGATAAAATGTTACTGCTATGATACAGGTTTGTGACTATTTATATTTTATATTTATCATATGCATACATACATACAAGTAACATTACATTTAGAGTCTCATACAGTATTTTCTTGACTTTATTTGCTTTTTGGTAGAAAGAAGGCACAAAGAAAAGTGTTACATACCTAATGCATTTAGTGGAGTCACTTTATAAAATCTTTTGCAGTACACAGCTGGGAATCTGTACCCACAATACATGTTACATGAAGCATAACTTTAAAAAAAGCAGTTCAAATTTTTTTGTTTAAGTGAAATATTCTCAGACATCTAATTTAATATTTAATTACATTCTAAATCGCTAGCTAGCATTGTTCTTCTGAACCCTCCTGGGATTGCCAGACCTGCCGCTTGTAGCATTGGAGATTATATTTCCCAGGCATTTTCCCGCGGGACGATAGATTTTCAAAGTTTTAATTTAAGCGTGCATTTTTAGGATACTTTGTACTGTCCTCGCTTCAGGATCCCTTTCTGCTGGCATTCAATGATGGCCATTATGCGCCCAGCAAATTTCAGATGAACTTGGTCACTAATGAATGGCCATGGAACAATCTCCTGTACACACTAAACAATCAACTTTTGTTTACCGAGCCTAACTTGTAAAAAGGAAGGAAAATGAGTGGATACCTCGGCAAACAAGTGTGTTAAAAACGAGAAGGGACCCAGCGAGTCCCCAGAAGCTTATAATTCTGTCTGTTACAGGGTAATTGTTAAAATAAATCATTCTATCATTTGAAATACAAGCTGCAGTAAATCATGATTGGGGAAAGCCTGCCACATCTGTTATTGCAATCAGGATGCCATGCAGAATGTGTGCAGAATTTCACTGTTCCTAATGAAAAGATTTACACGTTTATTTGAGTTACACAAATGTATTTCCAATTCCACTAGAAGAACAATTTTGTTTTATTAACTGCCCCTCCCCCTGATATTGTTTTAAAATGTAAAAAATGGCATATAATAGGTCATTAAATCAATTACTGTAATTCACATTGGACATCAAAAACTGAATCAATTTATTATATCTGGAAGCCTAATGGATGGATGTAGTCTCCAAGGCAACCTTTTTCAACGTTTTTTACTACAGAGGAACCTTTACAATAATTTTCAAGTCACAGAGAATTCCTGCTAAAACGAATTAATTGCAGTCAGTGATAAGATGTACCTACCATTGGTGGTCAGTGGTAAGAATACCCATTACATTAGTTGTCAGTGGTAAGAATGCCCATTACATTAGTTGTCAGTGGTAAGAATGCCCCTTACATTGGTAGTCAGTAGGAAGAAGGTCCCTTATATTGGTGGTCAGTAGGAAGAATGTCCCTTACATTGATGGTTAATGGGAATAATGTCCCTTACATTGGTAGTCAGTGGGAAGAAGGACCCTTACATTGGTGGTCAGTGGGAAGAATGTCCCTTACATTGGTGGACAGTGGGAAGAATGTCCCTTACATTGATAGTTAGTGGGAAGAATATCCCTTGCATTGGTAGTCAGTGGCAAAATGTCCTTTACATTGGTGGTCAGTGGGAAGAATGGCCTTTTACAGTAGTCGTCAGAATGCCACAGACAGCTAAAAAGATAATTGGAATCATACTCATGTCTTTACAAATAGTATGCAGGCACCATCAAATGGGAGACCAAATAGCCACAGTCCAAGGAATCTGGCCTGATTGGATCATGTGATTCAGAAGCTCCTGTTCCTCAGTGAGTGTCTGCTGCAGGGTAGAAGAGCGAGTGCTGACAATGGATGGGCCATGAGAGCCTGTGGGTGACATCACACATCAGGGAATTCACAGCCATTTTCGAGCACTCTCTTATAGGAGGGAACCAGAGCTGCTGAAACACGTGACCAGACCAGATTACAAAGAAGTAAGTACACAGATCTTTTTTTATACAGGGTGTTCAGGATAGGTAGGAGGAGAAATGTTTTTAAAGATAGTTTTAGTTGGTTTTTACTAACACTTTAATGTTAGGTGAGAGTCAGCATGAAGCAAATCCTCTAGCTGTGCAAGAGTTCCCTGTATTTAAGACCGGTAATTTCTGCTCTTTCTCCTTGTGCAGGGTGACTGGTCTTGTATCTGCCCCCTCCTGAAGTAGTCTGCAGGCAGCCTATATCGGCTGGACTGGCTGGGTCCCTTGCACACCTCTACTTAATTTTTTCTAAGGTAATAAGTATGTTTGTACTGTAAAAAAGTGTGTGTTGTGGGAATGACAAATGGGGTCTCAAAATTAATTTATTAAGTCCCCATAGTATTCTGAAAAGCATTTTAATTGGTTCAGAAGATGCAATAGCATTATTCTTTAGGCCTAAAACTCTAGAAACCCTAAAGCTGGCCATAGATGAACTGAAATTCGGATTCTTCAGCAGGGACCGCCCAAATTTCAATCCATCTATGGCCATTCCCATTTGGCAGAAGTTGATTGTTCTATTGAATAAGAATGTTAGAAAATTTGCATTCCATCAGTGGCTGCAGTGCTGATCAGTGTATTCTGAGAGAGGAGTCCTCACTGTCAGAATACAAAAACACAATGGGGAGCACTCCTCCATCCACCTCGCTTGTGTGGATGAGGAAATCCGCTAATTTTTTTTTTTATCAGCTCGCTGGCTTAATGAAAACAACTGATCCATCTATGGCCGGAATAAAACTCTACTCTTTAAAGCAGGGGTTTCCAAACTGATTCCCGGGAACTATATGTGGCCCTTTGCTTGCATATATCTGCCTTTGAAGCACTATTCATCCCACTGATATGAGTCATTATTCTGCCCATTGACACCAACAATGGGGCATAATTCCTGCCTCTGACACCAACAATGGGGCACTACTCCTCCCACTGATACCAAAAGATGAGGCACTGATTCCAGAAAAATTTCTATTCCCACTGGCCACAGTCCGACCCCCTCTAAAGCCTGAAGGACAGTAAACTGGCCCTTTGTTTAGAGAGTTTGGAGACTCCTGCTTTAAAGGATTAGTACTTATTATTTAGGCACAAAGAGCTCCATTTATCACAGCCATACTGCTGCTTAAAACAGAAACAAAAAAATATATAACTAAAGCACAGCAGTGAGGTCTGATCTCTTCTGGAAATGTTATTTAACTGGCTGTATCTGCCCTTCAGTTGTTTCTGTGATACTGATGTGGAACAAACATGGAGAAAGTGAAATCACAACTTGATTGGTGCACTTGATCTGGGCCAATGTCTCGGAAAGTAACTTAGTTATGGGATCAGCATGCCAGCCAGAAAACAGGCATTCTCTGAAAGAGATGGCAACAATGGTAGCCTCCATATCACCAGAACAGTAGTCGATATTAGGCTAAAATCAGAAGCTGTCCCTCCAACCATCCCAACATCCCATATATACCAGTACAAGGAATCCTTTGTCAATCATTTTTCTTAGGTTAGAAATTTTCACCGGCAATAGTACAAATTTCAAGTATCCTTTTGATCAGTCTACGCAACAATGATTTGAGAAGTTTTCCCTCGGTACGATTCCTATATCTCAACGTATACAATGGAAAAGTCCTTGCCTACAGAAAGTCCTCTCATTAAAAGTCTAATCTGTTCCACTACATTCTTGCCAGACAGAATGATCCAGCATTAGAGCATGCCTCAATGGTAAGCGGTAATAAGACTGATAGAAACAGCTTAAGTAATTGGATTGCTATATGGTATTGAATGTCTGACAACAAAAGATATCAATCTCTATTCTACCTCTGAATCTTTGTTCCAGCAATGAATTCATTTAGTCATGCCTTTGGAGGCTTGCGGTCCCCGTAGGAGAAATGACAGAGTGGGGACACAAAAGCCAGGCCATCTGATGAGCACAGAATAAGCCACTGTACCCTTCCTTGAAGTTAATTATAGTGAACAATAGCAGCAGACTTTGACTTGTTGATCATTACCATAATCACATTACTACAGTGCTCTCATATTCCCATCACCAACCCTCTTGGTTTCTCTGGCACCTCTAGATTACATTTTATCACCTAGAAGGGTGTTCATGTACTCTGCACATGCAGTTGTAAATGCTGCACATTTACAATTGGCATGTAATGAATTCATAAATATCGGTACATCCCCTATGATACATCAACGTGACTTTCATTTGCAAAAGAGAACTCCAGACAAAAATAATTAGATGTAGCCGTCTATATAAGCTTAACACTTGAACACCCTTTTAAAATGGCTATATGTTCTTGGATATAATACTTTTGTATGTTCACACCATCCCCTTCACTTCAGCTGAAATTTTAAATGAGGCTATCAGTGGGAGTTCCTATACTAGCTGCTTGACAGAGAAAAGAGGAAGCGTGGGAATGACTGAATTCCTGTGTTTGGTGGATTCTATCTGTAGTTCTAAGCCTCATATTACACAGGCTGTTGTTGTGTAGGGCAGGTGTAAGGACAGACCACAAAGGTCAGGCTGACCTAAGATATGTGTCTACTCAAGCTGACTAACAGACATATGGGGCACAAGCACAGTGACATGTTCATAGAAAAATGAATGTAATCGGTCAAGTGGAAATTTTAAAGCTGAACTTTGGGCACAAAAGCTTTCATTTAAATATTTTCCACAGTAACTACTTAAATCCACTTTGGCAGTGCTCTTTTCCCTGAGCAGAAATTCTGGGGGTGCTCCTTGTCATTTAGAAAAGGGAAAAACACCACTTCATTTCTGACTTGTTTTAACGCCTTGCTGCTGGCCCTTTAAATAGTACATAATGCTGGAGGTTGGTAGGCAGGGCTCGCGATTATATGCTCAGTGTGATTGACATGCAGTGATGACATAATTAGGAGCCTTGTCTACTGGCTCCTGATCATCAGTACTTGATGCTGAGCTGTGCTTGACAGATCATCACTGTTCTGGGGGCAAAGGGAAGGGAAAGTAAAGGAGGAAGAATAACATGGCGGACCTGGATACCCTGAGACTCGTATTGCGATTCTTCAGTAAGCATGTGAAATGGCATGGAGAGGGGAAATATATAACAATGCCATACATACAAAGAAAGGCTTCTATGGAAAGAATGAAGAGTGTCAAGTGGCCATGCCAGGAGTCATCACAGCAATATATTCTGCTGTGTGTTGGTATTGAAGCCAACAAGCCCAGGTCTTGTAAAAGAGAGAGTATCTGCCGTGGGCAATATGGATAAGCTCTTCCAGTCATATCTGTTCTTTGGGTCGGTTCACCCCATAGAAACAGAGTCCGGATATGTTCTGAATGCGTTTGTGTGTGCTTTTTGGACGCATTGTAGTGCGCTTTTGATGCGTTCCATTTAATTTTTTCTCCACTTTTTCTTCAACTTAAATAATATGTGGGTTCCAGGGCTTTTTTGGTGAGTTCAGGTGCGTTCCGGTGTGTTTTTGATGAGTTTTATTGTGTTCCAGTACAATTCAGAGAAGAAAATTGCAGCATGTTCTACTTTTTTTCTGGAACTGGAATACACTGGAACTGACCGCACTGGTGTAAACTATGCCATTGAAAACCATGTAATCTACTATCAATGCATTTTTGATGCAGAAAAAAAATGTACTGGACTGCATGTGGTGTGAACTGGCCCTTTAAGTACAAAAATACCTATTTATACTGCTAGAAATCCAGCAAGCTCCTAACTAGATGTGTACTTTTGAGGGTTATCTCAAACAGTGTTAGCAGTCCTTCCCAGTTTGCCCCCCATGTTATAGAGGCAAGGTGGGATGTTCTGTAGTCCTAATACACTTCCTGTCCAACATTTCTCCATTTATACAGTATACTGAGTGAGTGTTGTAACCCTAGGACAGGAAGTGTGTTTCTGGCAGGATCACTAGGTAAAAAAATCTGAAAAAAGAAAAAACAATTCAGCCACGACATCTAAGGACTGACAAGCTGCAATATATTACATGCTTTTCTTGAGTTTAGATAGCAAGGCCTACAGCTGTAATCCAGACATCCAGTATTATAGGATGGTAGAGGTACCACCATCATATTATCCTTAATTTACAATACATTGTAATGTTTTAAAACCATATGTCTATTTTTCTTACTGTAATAATATTTTTTCTGCTTTTTCTTACAGTAATATTTTATCTGACATCCATTTGTATTGTTGGATATAATCAGTAAATAGAGAATAAACCCGTTTGAAAAAAATACCCCATCTACCAATTCAAAAACCAAACAAATGCCTTAATTTGTGAGCAGAATTTGGTCCCTGTTTTCTTTTCAGTTAATTTCAGCAATGTACTTACCACACTTATAAAGATAAAAATGAGTAATAAATAATATTATAGTTGAAATATAGACACATATACTGCCCTGATTATTACACTGATTATCCACAACGTATTCAAATGCCTATGAGACATCATTTCTCCTGTTTATGCCAATTTCCCAAGCCTTTTCCACTTCAATGAGTCTATTTTTTCCTGTGAAGAAATTGCATACCTGAACAGAATGATTGCCAGAATTCCCATAGTTTGTTCCAAGCCACTGCCACATCAAACACAGGCAGACTACTGAGCAAGACTGTTAGTAAAACATTAAGAATTTTTGTACTAGAACAGCAGAACAGAATCTTTGGGATCCCACGTGTTAACAGATCACACTCAAGATGTTACAGTGTGGTCTTTTTAAAGAATAACTGCACCCAAAACTAGCA